ATGAGAAATATTCTAAAGATTTTTATGTAATTTCTGTTGATTTATTTTATCCTGACATACCTTATTTAACAACTTTTAAAGCAATCATCTTTGGTGAACGGAAGGGGATCGGGGATTACTGTTAAAGTATTAGCACTCAACAGATAATTCTTAGTTCCAACAAATCTCTTGAACTGGAAAGGAATCTTGAAGATGAAAAGATTTCTTGATAACTACAGCCATTTCAAAACCTATTAGAAAAGAGAAAAATGAGAGAGCCAGGTGAACTTCTCTCCTCCTGGACTCGTTTTACGTTGGAGCAAATTATGTTGCTAGCCGAGCTCAACTGCCTGGCCCCACGTTCACAGCAGCAAAAAGTCAGGTTTAAGTCTCGTAGACTTTCAGAATTCACCAAGGTTAGTCCTATTCTTAAATGATAATGATTATGACAAAACAACAAGGCCACCAAAATATCAATAAAAAATAAAAATGGCAGAGTAAAAATAACTCCTCAGAATATCTAACCAACGATACAAAAAGGTTCGCTGCACATGGGAAGCCAACCAGAGATGGCAGAAAGAACAATGAAAGGAGGATCAGGAGCTCTGGGTCAAGTCCTGACTCCCATGAAGTAAGGCCACCACCAGCCTGAGACTCAGCTTCCCCATTTCAACCGCTTATTGATCAGTGAGGACAAAACGAAACAGTGACTCCAGCAACACATTGCTAATCATAAAATAAAACTTTAATTTATTTTAATTCATTTGTTTCTAAAATACTGTTTTAAACATAAGATCTTATTAAGTTTTATGTGAGTACATACACTTTCCACCACCACCACACCCACACATACACATAAGGGAAGATGCACAGACAGACAGAAGATTGCCTCAGTTTTCTCTTGCTCCAGGTAAGCTTTCCCCTAAACTGGTGTTAGAAAGCTACCAGTTCACGGTGAGGAAGATGGGCATTTGCAACAAAGAAAGAATTCTGTTGTTTTGAACAACAGAATTTCACAACAGTGAATTCACTGGTGAAACTACCAGTCCGCTAGGCTCAACAGTATTGAAGAATAAATACCAGGTTTGATCCCAAGGATATAACGGCAGCTTCCTCCCATTAGTCTTCATTTTTCTAAAACCAGGACTGTTACTGAGACTGTATCCATGGGCATGTCCTTTCTTGTTATTACAATATTGAAACGCTTTTGTGCTTACTGCCCCCTGAATGCTGCTCACTCCTCTTTGCCTCCTCCCCTGGGACTCCCCAGACCTCCCCACAAACAATAAGTTGATGTCTGGCACAGCAGAGAGCTTCCAGGAACTACCCTTGACATTGGTCAGTGCCGTGCGTCATACTAATTGATACATATAAAAATAACTCCTCCGCCTAAGACATATCCACCCACATCCTGACCCCCAACCATGGGTACCTCTAAGCCAAACTAGGATTCCTGAAACATATTTAAATCCTGCAGCAAAAATCCCAGGAAAGTAATTTAGATACAAAACTAGTTCAGATATCTAGTATTGTAGAGAGTTCTCAGGATAAGGCCAATTTAGGATTTGTGTCCAAGAGCTATTTGCAAATTTACAGTTATTTTCTTCAGTCAATTAGTTTGAGAAAGGAAATGGGAACTAAGTAAATAAATTAGATCATTAATTTGCAATAAATGTAAATTAATTATGCTAATTCTAAGAATTGAACATATACATATATTATGTATACATAATAAATAAGGAATATACATAAGGCTCTATTAGCAAAAGAAAGCCATCTTGACTTATCGTGTTGTAGAAAATCCATGTATATTCATTCAATAGATTTTAACAGTTTTGATATGTGTATGAAAATATAGGATAAACATTAACTGCATACTGATGTTCTAACAAATCTATTTTCATTCCAAATGGAAATTAGAATATATTTTGCATTATTTGAGTTAATCACATGACATTTCTTATGAATAATGATGTATTATTCCATTCATTACTTCTAATTATGTTTTGTTACAAGTGCAAAGCTGGCGACACCATGACCAGCCTTTTCCTATTACTCACAATCTGATGAGTTGCCTGGAAAGCAGGTCAAAAATATGCCCAGAATATAATGAACAGAGTTCAGTAATTGTTAACTATAACAGTTTAAAACTACCTGAGGAAAGTTTCACATAGAAAAAAATAGAAATGGGGAATGGCTTTTCATGTTACAGGATATTCATTTTTGCAATTAATATGAGAAATATTCAAAGTCTAATTTTAATACATATAATTAGCATCCTACCATTTGCTAGAGTTGGAGAGAGAGCATCCCTAATATTTTACTCCCTCTGCCCCCTGACACTAACAGAATTATATTCTGTATAGATTGGCAGATTGTAAAGGTATCTTTTTCTGGTATTTGCAAGTGATTCTATAGCCTTTGTGCAATTCTGAGAGAATGTAGGAACCTCCTAAAAGCTCTGATCAAAGTGTATAACCAAAGTGCATAACCTAGTGCATAACCATGGTGAGGCCAGTCCTCCTCACCCCATTCACAGCAGGGTCTGAAACTAGAAGATAAGGTATATTATAGAGAAGAGGTCAAGGTCAAGGAAAAACGGTCAAAACTAAGTAATTATGTACAGGGTCCAAATGAATCACAAGGTCACCACATGCACATCCTCACCAAGCAGCAGACAGCAAGGAGCCAGGGCCAGACAGTAGATAGCAGGAAGTGGCCTGGATGAGGTCTAAGACGGACACGTACATGCTTCAGGCACACTGTTTCATGGGTGAGTCACCTTTATTTGAAGAGGCCAGGGCAAAGTGTATAAAATCCACACATTTTTCTCCATCCAATTTCAGCAATCCTTGCACACGTACAAAGCATCTATTCATTCCCTTAGTGTCAGGTGCCAAGAATCCAACATTCTGTCTATAATAAAAATAGAGGTGCCAGTCTCAGCTCCAGGAACAAAAAATAATCTTGGGAGAAGAAGAGCCTGGCAAGGGGGGCTCCTCTTTCCCCTCTGCTACCCACGACAGTTACTGCCCGCTGACCCTGCAGGCAGCCTCAGAATCCTCCTCAACACTGTGAGCTCCCTACCAACTGAAGAGCTGGCATTTCAGATAAAATGTATTTGCTCTCTGTGTAGTGATTCCTCAGAAGACAAGTCAAGATGGACAACTGTCACACAAGGTTCATCTTGCAATGGAAGTTAGGAAGATCCTCTGTGGCTGGTTCTAGACACTGAAAAAAGATGTTAGCTTAGAGAATAAAAGCATCCAAGAGCTTCCTTTATTCCTGCTGATCAATGCCACTGAAAACTGGTTCTAGTTGGTAGCAACATACTCTAGTAACCCAAAGGTAGGTGCACATTTATATAGAGATCTTTCCCATGTAAACAGGATAAAGAATGCTCTAAGTGAGCAATCACTGCTACATGCAGATCTTTTGAAGACAATAATCTGTCAAATAAAGTCAAGAAAATTATGACCACAAGAAAATCAACTTGCCTCATCACAGCTCTGGACAAAGAACAGCACAATTGTCTTTGAAGATCTCTCCAAGAGTATTTTAAGCTAATATACAACAGGCATATACAGGGTGAAAAAAAGACATAAGCTCAGGGAAATTTTAAGAGCAAAAGTCTATCTTTAGAAATAAAAATATTAAAATAGTGCTTGCACTCATTTTATTTGCACAGGAAGGTTTAAAAAGAAACTCTTTTGAGAAATGAAAGATCATCAGATCGCTAATAACTGGTTTCCTGAACAATTAAAGAAATTCACAAGATTACAACCCACTCAGGAAATGACAGATATTTCTGATTTTTACGGAAAGACTAAAAGGGAACTTTTATCCATAGCATCTATTCCATAAGAAGCACTGTTAAGTAATGGAGCTATTTTTATTTTTTTTTTTTTTCATTTATTTCAGGAGTACTCAACATAGCAGTGGTCTCAAAACCGAAAAAACTTAACATTGCTCGTTTGGAAAGGTAAGTTCTCTATTAAAAGGCATTCATCAGAGTTTTCTTTTTTATCTCTTGACGTTGGATCTTAGAGCACAATTTCCATTGTACCAAACTTTTGTTTCTAATGTATATGTCAGCAGAAATATCCTTTAAGTTACCTAGTCTAATTTTTCACAAATGCACTTTGTAAGACTGTCTCTCAATGCATCATCCTAACATTGTTTGGCTCTGATAACATTCATGTGCAATACCCCTGTTTGGAAAAATCTGCTCTTTTTAATAACTGATTCAATAAACTGTTGACAAATGATTTGTATAATATAGTACGGCCAGCAAGCAAGGTTTGTCTCTGTCATTGCATACCACATTCAACCCGTCCACAAATGTGGCCATGTTCCCCTTATGTTAGAGCTCCTTATGCCATTCTGAATAGCAATCCAAAGATCAATACACTGTCTGCTGAAAACAACAGGACATAACAAATGAATAATTTTATTTACAATAAAAGCCCCAGTCCCCAAATGGATTCCACTAATGTTCAAATTCATTTTTCATGCTCAATTCAAGATGAGAGGTAGACACAGCACAATGCAAGGGGAGAGGGTATGGAGAAGTAATAACCACATTGGTTCAAATTTATTTAAGCTTTGAACAACAGTTGGGCTACACTGAGCTACATGAATAAAACGTTCACTGCAGAATTCTGAAGATGCAATCTCCAAAAATGCTTCTGTTCTCTCACCAAGACATTCTGAAAAGCATTTTCCAGTAACAAGAAATTAATGGATTAAACACATTCTGACATATTCTTCTAGAATGTTGCACCACCGAGGCCAAAGCCTATTCAATCGGCTTTAAACACTGTTTGCAAGGAGCAGAAGTGTTTGCTTTAGGTGGGGACAAGGAGGGAGTGAAGTGGCTCTTTTAAGAATGAAGCAAATAGTCTTGCTTCAAAAGCATATCTTCGGCTCCTGATCTGACAGTTCTTTTCCTCCTCTGAAAGATATGAAAAAGTCAGGGAGCAAAGTCTTAAAAAGAAGGGTTGGGGGGAGCAAAATGTTGGAGGGGACACAAGTTCAAAGATGACATTTACAAGTCTTTCATGAATGGCACATTCCCCCAAAGGCCATCCAAATACTGTTTTTAAAAAGAAGTCATCAAAAATACACAATAAAATTTTCCAGTTCACGTAATGATGCCAACATACTGCCCTTAAAATATAGATTTGCCCATTGACAAATTAACATGCAAAGAAAAAAATGGAAAAGAATCTTTTCCCATCTGCCATGAATTTATTCACTGCTTTTAGACTTAACTCCGTACACTCATAACACAGCAATGTAAACAGGATTGTAACTGACAAAGCGTGAAGGGAAATTTGGGAAAACACAGCTTGGATATGATATTAAAAAATCTGGAATAAAATGGTGACAAGACTTAGCACTGTGCATAGGAATACTGAAAAGAAAGGATTCCAGCAGACTCCTATTGCCCCATTCCATTAACTGAAATGATCCATATGCTCCTGATGTTTACCGTTTCACTTTAAATTCAGTCAACATAGTACTTCTGGAGGCTAAGAGAAAAAGAGATGCACTAGAGCAGGTCCTGTCCCCACTCCTTCCCAGGAAGTAATGACTCAGCACAGAGACAAACAGGAATGAACATAGTTCTGATATTATGCAGACTGGGATAAGTGTTTGGCATGGTGCCTGGAACAGAGTCGGAGCTCAGTAACAAACTGTTGAATGAATCAACATGTGATTAAGGCACTGAGTGTCACAAAAAGGACAGAGCATTTTTTTCCTAAGAGGGTGGGACAGGTATCAAAGCACTTTAATCAAAATGAAAAGGATGAGAAGGATCTCAAGATGAAGAAAGAGGCACAGTAAAGGGGGCAAAAAGCATGCTAAGGGAAATACAACACCTGTTTAGGAAATAGCTGGCAAGGGGGGAGGTTGAGTCAAGATAAGGAAAATCTTTTAAAACTATGTGAAGGAGTTTAAACTTTATCCTCAAAGAAAAAAAAAGGAGATTCATTAGTGGTTTGTTTACAAGAAAACAGGCGAGTGACATGATCAGAGTTGTGGTTTAGAGGGAGGTGTAGGCTGGATTGGACAAGTCCAGGGTCCGGGAGGGTGCAAAAAGCTAGAAGACCCACACCAGAGGGCTTATCTAGGGCAGACAGAATAGAACACTGGGGGGAGATAAAGCCCACTGCAGACATCTCATCATTTATTTTATGAAATGTTAGTGGGCAGAGCTATCCATAGCTTCAATTCCCAATTACAGGACAAAAGAATATCACTTCCTGCAAGCAAATGAGTAACTTATTAAGATTCTTCTCACAGTCGTCACCTAACAGAGTTTACCAAAGTACAGTAAAATAAAAAGTTACAAAATCATGATATAAAAAGGATTGTCTGAATACATTATCTATAGTCCTGAGACCACTTTAAACACTGTAGATGTGATATAACCTCACAGAGTATACTGATTACAAAAATGTTGGATTCTCACTGTTCTCATCCTCAGAAAGGGCCAGGTCCTTCTTGCTACCTTCCAAGCAAACTGAGGTTTGTTAACTTTAATACAATGTTCCCCACACCCTTGGCTTTTGCTCAGAGATATGGTAACCGTCCAGGACTCATTTCTGAAATGGCAATTCCAGTGCCATCTGGAACGAAACTAGTCATCATTCACTAATTGCTCACTATTCAGTATAGACATTTCCGTAGAAGCAGAATCTCAACTTTTCTTGAGTTCAAACACGTATATGACCCAGATCTTACACATTACACTTTTGGAGTTGGTTAAAAAGACTATGAAAAATAAAATTTCTTACTATCAAGATTTGAGTTAAAAAAAATCACAAAGTAAAGTTCATTCCATTATTAACCATTAAAAAAGCAGTGCAAGTCTATAACCTCACATTTTCTCAGTCCAACGCATTAAGATTTGCTCCTCTAAATTCACATTTTCATCTCTCAAGTTCCCACGGTTCTTTGATAGAAGTCAATTAAAGCTGGCACTCAAAGAGAGATGGCGTTTAAATCATCTTCTTTTGACATCAGAATTCTCATTTTGCTTAAAAATAAAACCCCTCAAAGGAAAAAGACAACCACATACTTGCAGCAAAATCAAATGAAAAAATAAAATGCTTCTGTTCTGTCAGGAACTTCAAGGTCTTTTAGAAGAAACTCAGTATAAAATTGGTATACAACTTAAAAATTGTTCTGTTTTATAGGACCTTTCTAAATCATTCTAGTTTTATTTTTTTACTTTGATAAATAGAAGAATGAAATTTTCTAATATTAAGTGTTGGTAATCTAGACTATTTTTATAAATTTAAAAGAAGAGGTAACATTATTGAGAAAAAAATTACATAATATTATTTACTAGTTTATCACTGTGATCATTAGTTTTGTAAATTCACAAAATTTATTTAGTTAAAATTTGGATTCAGGGAATTTGGGAGTCTACCATAAAATCACAATTATCTTTTGGTACATGTCTTCTTATTTGTATTTTTTTCAATGTACAATAGTTACATGGCCAAGAAAAGATTTTTCATAAAGTTCTCAAGCACTTTGAAAATTCCCACTGAAACGAATATAACTCACTCTGGAAAAAATCTTGACATATTTGTAGATTCAGAATTACCGAGAAATTTATTTCAAAGTAAAATCATGTTCCAGTGTAGAAAATGCTTATTATCTTAAAATATGAAATTTTATACTTTGTTGCCCTCTGCATAGTAAATTAAGGGGGAAAGAGAAACAAAAATCTGAAGAGTCAGTACAAAAGTCATATGCACATGGTCACCAGTAATACTTTCAACAACACAAAAATAACCCTCTAGAGCATCTCACCAATTCCTGCTACCCCCACTGCAAAAATAAAACTCCTACTGAAGTCAATAGGAAAAAAGACTACAACTCAATGGTCAGAGGGAAATAAAACAACTCTACCACCAATGACACTGGACAATGATGTAGAAGCTGGGATGTTTTCCAAGAAAAAATGCTATTTCAGATTATAACATGAAAAAAATATTTTGTAAGTATGTTTATGTGTATGAATTTAATTAAAACTCACATTTTGAATGATCTCCAAGAGGTAAAGAAACCAAGTCAGTCTCAAATCTTCATGTCATACCTTACTTCCACATCACATCTATCTTACTATTAAAATTCATAATTGATAACTGAAAACAAAGTGCCCATAATATTCATTGGGACCATATTAGAGGCACTTATTTATTTACACAGCTACGATAGTCAAAAGGTCAAGCAAAAATTCACCTCCAAAGCCATCGTTGCTAAGCAACTCTTTTTCAGAAGTTCTGCAACATTGATCAAGCATATTACTGGTGTCACCAACTGGAATCAGAATAAATGTGTCACATCTTACCTGGTTTTTCCAAAGCCGGAGGGAGGCAGATTCCTTGTTTACCTTTTTGGATAGACATTGGAGGCCAATCCCGTATTCATTTGTTCTGTTAGGTACAGAGGATTTTTTATTTTTCCTCTGTTAAAAAAAAAAAAAGGATACGTCCTGGTACCACAGGCTTCCTGTTCACAAGGGCAAACGACAGTTCTGTTTTGAGAAACACCACAGAGGGCTTGATGAGATGCTGGCCGAATCTGAAGGACATTTCCTCACAGTTAAGGTCTGAAAGAGAAGATGATTTAGGAAATGGGCATTTATAAAACTCAGATGAGCAACTCACATCATATATCACTTGAAAGAAACACATTCCACTACTACAGATTCTTAGTTGCAAAGAAGACTTAACATTTAAGCTGTTCGCCATGTAACATCCACTAAGATGTCTTCTGGGTAAGTCCTCCTAAAATACTCCACTCTCTCCACCAGCATTGCCTTGACTGGATTTAGTGTTTTCAAGCAGAAGCTTGCACGTGGACAGCAAAACAGTCTTCTTAAATCCCTCTGCACTTTAGGTGGCCACCTCACCCCAAATCCACCAGGTCCTATCTGTCGGGCACTTTTTATTTTTACCCATCCATTTCACCATCTTTGCTAAGCTGAAAATTTTCATTGTTAAGCGTTGACTATAAACCTTCTAATTCTTAAATGCTTTTCTCAAATGGTTTTATCTTTGTTTATAGAAAACCAATTTAGAAAAAGTACAAGCACTGTTTGACCTTACCTACAATTACAGAAACATATTAGCACTCCCATGGAACTATTATAGTAAAATTTCCAAAATTAAAGAGGAAAAAATTGATTAAAGAGAAGGAAGAGGCAAAATAGAGTTTGAGATGAGAACTATTCCTGGTTGATGCAGAGCCAGGAGGCAGCAAGCTATGTGAGGTGTTCCATATTGTCTTTTCTGGGGAAAGCCGCGGTGGGGGGGACGAGGAGGGCGGTGCGGGCAGGGTTGAAGCAAGATTTGGCACTTGGCATCTAGGGTACCAAGGAATGATTTTCCATCAGCTGGATGCCTACACATGACAAAGTTACTTTCTGAAGGACTAAGACACCCTCTCCTTGGGAAATCATTTCATTTTTCTAATTCAGGAACCACCCTACTACAAAAGTGATGAAAATATATCAACCCATGGGAAAACAGAAACAGGATTACAAAAAAGATGACATCAGAAAATGGTTGACTATTTTATAAAGCATAAATTGTTTAATGATTCTAATGTTCCCAATGACCCAAAAGATACAGAAGGCTATGCAAATGTTATCTACAGTTGAAGCAACAACATAGCCAGAACTTAACATATTTCAGGTACAAAGAAATAAGATGGAGGGTTCACCTCAATGATACAAATATTGGTTTTAGAACATTTACAACTACCTCATATAAAATGAAAGGTCAGTAAGGATGTTGGAAATCTTCTAACCCAGTGGTTCTCAAGATGTGCTCCCTGGACCAGCAGCAGCATCTGGGAATGTATTAGAAATGCAATTCTGGAGTTTCACTCCTGAGCTACCAAACCAGAAACTCTGGGAGAAGGGCCCAGCAACCTATACTTTAATAAGCTGTCCAGATGATTCAGAACCACTGATCAAACCCAACTATTCTCCCAGTCCTTGAGTCCTTCTCTACAGAATCCTTGCCAGGTAGCTGGCTAGCCTATGCTTGAATATACCCACTGATGGGAAGTTCACTATGCATTCCTTCTAAGAATCAACTCCAGCAATTATGTAGTTGTCTTTCATACCAAGTCCATCTATTTGTCATGGATTTATGCCGTGGGGCTATATAAACACGTATCATGCAAGTGGCAGTGCTTCCAATACTTGGAGTTAACTTTTATTCATTTTCCCCAGTTTTTCTAGAATAAACATGGCAACGCATTTCAATCATTGTGCAAACAGCATTGATTCAAGTTCCCTGCAGCTATCCGTGTTTTCTGCCTCCCCAGCACCCATCTTCTGTAGTTCCGGCCATACCACCCTGATTTTGTTTTGGGTAAGCCCCACATATCCCTACTGCCTGCGTTCTAGGGATGGGAAAATGACTCAGGCATCCTTAGTCCTCTGTCACACGATTGGTTCATGAGTGGACACAGGACAAAAAATGAGGCATTCAAAGGAAGGATATCCATGCAAGGATTACTGCTGATACTATGGAGAAAGGGCTTGCTTTCTTTCCGCTGAGTTCCCAAACTAGTAGGACATGAACCTGGAACAGCTACAGATTACACTAAAAAGAGCCTGCCTGGTATCAGAGCAAACGCTGAGGCCAGCAGAGCCAAGATACAGAGAGAGACCCATACCTGATGACACTGTGTGAGCACCTGGATCTAACAATGCTGGAAGGAGTAATGTCCCTGGAGTCTGTTTCTTCTTAAGGATAACTGTACAGAATTGACTTAAGCATAGGGTCTAGTTGATAAGCTACTATTAATAGTCCATGAAAGGCTCTTCTTTTGGTTTTCATTTTTCTTCTTATCATCATTTCCCCTTTATCGTCTATGCCCAGGCCCATTCCTTCCTCTCCCACCACAAGGCTTCACTTTTTCATAATTAATGTTGTATTTATAATCTTCATTGTATTTTTATAAATATTTTATATGTCAAAAATATATAGGGCTCTTGTATATGGCTTTTAAATTTGTCTATAAATTGTACCACGCTTTAAATCTCATTCTGCCTTTTTCTCTCAACATTGTTTTAGAGACTCATTCATGTTGCTAGAAATAGATATAATTCACTCTTTCTCACTGCTCATTCCCTCTTGCTGTATTCCAATGTAATTTTCTTTGTCCATTTCTCTAGTGCTGAAGAGCTAGCTTGTCTCCAATCTTTCACCACAAATAACACTGTGATGACCATCTTTACATATATTTCCTTGGGTATCTATGCTAGAGTCCTATTATTGGGTTTTAGGTTATACACTTAGATTTTCTAAAATATATGCACCAGTTTACATTCCCAGAAGGAATGCATGCAGATGTCTATTTTCCTACATCCCTGACAGCACTTGAGAATATCTGATTTCCTAGCTTTTACTAATATGATAGGCAAAATGGCATCTCATCTTTAATTTGCTTGTCTCCAACGTGATATGTGCATGTGTATATTTCTCCTTCTCTGAATTGCCAATTCATACTTGCCTTCTTTTGTATTGGTTTCTTCCCTCTGTGTTCTGATTTCCCAGAGTCCCCAGTATATTTAAATATTGATCTCAGTCTATGAAACATGCCAATTACATTTTCACCATCTATTACTTTTTCTATCACACTCTCCATTGAACAAACACCATTCATTTTGAGGTATTTATCAACTTGCTTTTTACGGTTTGGGCTCTGTGATTCTTATGTAACAAACCCTTCTCTACCATAAGGTTACAAAAATATATTCTTAAATTTTCGTCTATCAGCTTTATATTTCGCTCTTAACAGTTAGGTATTTAATCCACTTAGAGAGTTGTTTATGGCATGAAGCATGGAAATGGTTTACATTTTTCTCCTTTTGTGAGCCAATTTTCCTAGCACCAATTGCTGGGAATGATTATACCAACTTCCCATATGTACATAGGAATGAGTCTGGACTTACTATATTCTGGTTCTATGCCAGATGCTGGACAACAGGGGGTGCCAAATGTTTTCCCTAAAGGGCCAGAATCAGTGAGCCACACGGTCTGTTGTAACTACAACTCTATCGCGGTAGCACGAAAGCAGCCATAGACAATACATATATGAAGGATGTGGCTGTGTTCCCAATAAAACTTGATTTGTAAGAACAGGTGGCAGCCTGGATTTGGCTTGTAGGCCGTCATTTGCCAACTCCTGCTGTATAACGTTAATGCCTTGTAAAGAGAGAATCCTTCTTGATTTTTATTCTCCCATATAAATTTCAGATTCAACTCTGCCCCTTCAAAAAAATTCTTGCTCAGATTGGAATTACATTGAATTTAAATTTTAATGGGGGAAATATCACATCTTCACAATATTCAATCAATCCATTTATGAATGCTGCATTTATGCTCTATTAATACCATAATAAAACTCTTGTAATAGGGTTTTAAATTTCCCTTATGTTTTATGAATTCTTAGATAGCTTTTAGTTTATGTCACTATTATAAATAGCATCTTATTATCATCATAGTTTATAATTGGTTACTCCTAGTACAGAGGAAAGCTATTGATTTTTATATGTTGCTCTTACAAGCTGTCAACCTAGCTGAACTCTTATATTGCTGCTCATAGTTTCTGCTGATTCTCTTTGGTTTTCTACATAAATGATTTTACTTAAGAATAATGACAATTATCTCTCTCATTTCAATTCTTCTACTTTTGTAGGTTTCTTTTTCTTACTGCCTTGGTCAGGTATCTGGCAATGTGTTGAGAAGTAGAAGTAACAAGGGCAACCTTGTTTTGTTCCCACCCTTAAAAGGAATGAGTTGAAAGTTTTGTTTTTTCCATTAAGAATGATGTTTGCCATAGGTTTTTAGTAGAAAGCCTTTATCAAGCTAAAAAAAATTCCCTATTTCAAGTTTGCTAAGGGTTGATTCCATTTAAAAAAGAAAAAAAGTTTTATTAAATGCTTTTTCTTTATCATTGGTGACACAATTTCTTGTTCTTTGCCATTAATGTGGTAAATTACAGTAACAAATTTTTTTAAACACTGAAACACCCTTTCACTTTTATGATTAATTCAACTTAGTCATAGTGTATTATTTTTAATACATTGCTAGATTTGAATTCTTAGTGTTTTTCAATGTCATAAGTGAAGTTGGCCAATATTTTTTTCAATCTGGTTTTTGTTTTCAAAACAAAACTTAATGGGTTTGCTTTTTTTCTTTGTTCTATAAGAAGCTTTATACACAAGGATTTTCTGTTCCTTGAGAGTTAAATAGAAAACTCACTTGTCAAACTGGGCCTCTTTCTATATTGCAAGGAGGATTAAGTCTTGATAATCATTACAATTTATTTAATGGTTGCTGATTGGGGTTTTTTGCATCAATTTTTCACCATATCCTTTTCAACTAAATGTTCATCTTTATTGGTAAAAATGCGTCATATTCTTTTTAACAGATTAAAATGTAATCCATAATTCTTGTATTTTGTTTGTAAGTATTTTGTTTATTCTTACTGTATACGTGTTTTTCTTCATTTGTCTCACAAGAATTATATCTAACTTATGAAGTTTTTCAAAGAACTATTTTTGGTTCTTTGCTTTTATTAATTA